GTTTGGGTTGTAGCCGTGTTGGTCTAAGGACATAGGCAGACAACGTTCCTTGGGTGAATTTGATATCTTTTATTAGACCAACCCAAATGGTTGGAGAATAGTTATTAAGCAAGCTTTCGGGTTCAAAAACCCTTCGTCAGGCTCAGGAAGCTGCAGCAGTTGGTGTGTGCTCTTCCTGGATGGGATGAGAAGTAAAGAGGCCAGGGGCTGGGCTGGGCTGGGCTGGGGAGTCAGTTGCCAGGCAGATTATAATGTATCAAAAATCCAATGTCTATGTTTAGTCCATGATCTCCAGCATCCAGCAGGTTGATGAAATGGAGCTCATAGGCTCGTCTCTGGGAAGTGCCGTGCAAGCCTCCCTCAAGGATCAGGACTGAGAGATGGGAGAGCGAGTGGCCCTCCTGTGAGAAATGTGCCCCCACCGGTAACTGGGTGTTTCTGTCTTTGATGGATTTCCGGTGTGCGTTCACGCCGGTGCCCAGCCGCTGTCTGGCCACCCCCACACATCCTCTATCAGGGCATTTGGTGCATTGGATGAGGGATACTACATGTCTGGGGGGGCAGCTGTAAGATCCTGGGATGCTGATGGCTCTGTTGTGGGGTGTAGTATTAGTGGGAGCGGTGGAGATGTGTTGGCAGGTCTTGCATTTCTTGTCTTGGCACGGTCTGGATCCTTTTGGTGTGTTCTGGGCTTGAGGAAGTTTGCTTCTGGTGATGAGGTTAGCGAGGTTTGGTGCTTGTTTGAAGGCTAGGATGGGTGGCTCTGGGAAGATCTTTTTAAGAATAGGGTCTCTTTCTAGTATGGGTTGCAGTTGTTTGAGGATTTTCTGTACAGGTTCAAGGGAGGGGTGATATGTCATAACCAGTGGCGCGCGACCTGTGGGTGCCTTTCTTCTGTACTGCAGCAGCTCTCCACGTGGCATCCAGGTGGCTCCTTCAAACGTGCGATCTACCTCTGTGGAGGAGTGTCCTTGCTGGGTGAAAGCCTTTTTAAGATTGGTGAGGTGGCAATCCCGGGTGTTCTCTTCAGTACAAATGCGGTGGTATCTGAGGGCTTGGCTGTATATCACAGCTTTTTTGGTGTGTTTAGGGTGATTGCTGGTTCTGTGCAGATATGTATGTTGGTCTGTGGGTTTCTTGTATAACGTGGTCTGTATTTTACCCTTCTGGATACTGATCCTTGTGTCTAAAAAGGAGATGTTGGTGCTGGAGTATTCTAGAGAAAGTCGGATGGAGGGATGGTGACTTGAATTTCTGATGGAACTCAATCAGAGATTGCAGGTTCTCACTCCAAATGATGATGTCATCGATGTATCTTAAGTATAGCAAAGCTTGCACGGCACTTCCCGGAGACGAGCCTATGAGCTCCATTTCATCAACCTGCTGGATGCTGGAGATCAGGGACTAAACATAGACATTGGATTTTTGATACATTATAATCTGCCTGACATCTGACTCCCCAGCCCAGCCCAGCCCCTGGCTTCTTTACTTTTCATTCCATCCAGGAAGAGCACACACCAACTGCTGAAACTTCCTTAGCCTGATGAAGGGTTTTTGAACCCAAAAGCTTGCTTAATAATTATTTTCCAACTATTTGGGTTGGTCTAATAAAAGATATCAGATTCACCCAAGGAACCTTGTCTGCCTATGTTCTATACCTTGACATTAGCAAGGCTTTGAATATGGTCTCCCACAGCATTCTTGCAAGCAAGCAGAGGAAGTACAGGCTGGATGAATGGACTGTAAGGTGATAGAAACCTGGCTGGATTGTCGGGCTCACCAGGGAGTAATCAATGGCTCAATGTCTAGTTGGCAGCCGGTATCAAGTGGAGTGCCCCAGGGGTCGGTCCTGGGGCCAGTTTTGTTCAATATCTTCATTCATCTGGAAGACAGGATGGAGTGCACCCTCAGCAACTTCACAGATGAGACCACGCTACAGGGAATAGTAGGTATGCTGGAGGGTAGGGCGAGGATTCACAGTGACCTAAACCGATGTTTCTCAACCACTGGTGGGACTTGAAAGTCTTGTAGGTGGGACTTCAACTCATTGTTCCTCCCCTTCCCCAGTGCTTAGCTTCCGGGCTTCCCCAGTCTATTCTCTGCCTCCAAACTCACCTGCCATGACTTGGTCTTAACATAAAGTACTGAAAGGTTTTGGAGGCTGCCGACAAGATGGGTTGGCCACTTCCAGGGGCTCAGTGTGGTATGTGTTCTCCTGGTCTTGCACTCTACCTTGCACCCAAAAAAGGATGAGTGGTGGGGAAATTGCCCTTGTGGAGACCACTCCCCACTTTGAGCCTTAAGGGTATTAATCACAACCTCCTGCCTCCACTATGTCATAACCATGTCTCAGGGGTGTTGTTTGACGTCATGTTTAGGGGACTTCTCACCTCACTAATGCTCAGCCTGTTGGGGCTTTGCCCGTTCCTCAGCTTCCATCCCTTTTCCCTCCAGCTGGACTCCAGCTCAGTCTGCCAGGACCCAGCTGAGCAGCTCCAGCTCCCCCTGGTTTCTCTCCTCTCTCTGGCATCTGCCCTGCCTGGGGCAGAGGTTCTCCCCATGGTTGTGTCTCACTGGCACCTCACTGCGGCTGCACTCCCAGTCCACCCCAAGAAGTCCACCCAAAATTGCAGGTTGTTGCCTTACCTGAAAAAGAGAGCTGTGGCAGAAATGCCCCGTCGGTGCCCCTCTCCAGAGATCTGTCTCTGCCAGCCTTAGAGGCTGCTGTTGAATCCCTCACAGCGGGGATCTCGCTCCTTGTCTGCAGACAAAAGCCTGGCGCCTGGGAGGCGATGCTCTGGTCACCTGGGCAGGGGGGAAAGGCCCGGCCCTGCGCGCGGGCCCAGGTAGCCAGGGATGCTTGGCAGATTGGTCAGTTTGTGGCCAGTATTGGCAGCTTCGATTGGACCGGCTGCTGAGGTCAGAGAGGTTATTTAAGGGCCCGGGCCAGGAAGAAGGTCGCCATTATCCATGCGGTCATCCAGGTGAATCTGAACCTGGCTCTCTCCTCATCACGGCATGCTGCAAGAGTGCGCTGCCTCCAG